GAGGAGGACCTCAACTGCGCCCTTGGTATAGACATGTCGAGTCTGTTCGATCTCGTTACCATAAACAACGCTCATCAGCTTGCAGGAGGAATCGAAAGGATGCTCGGCCACCAGGGTGTCACCCCCGGAAACACTACGGCCGAATCTCATAGCGAAGACCTTTAGAGCAATCTCGGTGGGCTCTCCAATGGCCTTCCACTCAGCATCTTCGGAAGTGATGATGCTGCTAGAGTCCGTCTCGGGCTCTTTCTTGCCGTCACTGACTGTGGCGTTATTGCAAAGTGTGAGAACTTTGAGAAAAGTGTTCAGGTAGCTTCCGGCCAAGTCAGCAGACCATTTGACTGTTCCGCTGTAAGGGTCGTAGGGGTTGGCGGTGCCTTCAACGGTTCCGGCGAGATCGCCACGGAGCCAAACCTTTCGGGTAATCATTCGTCCTTGAGTCAGGGTACCAGTCTTGTCCGAGCAGATGTTGGTAACACCGCCAACGGCTTCAAGGGAAGGCATCTGACGAACAATGACATTGCCGCGAACCATTGCCTTGGTGGCAACGGCCATTGTAACAGTCAAAACTGCGAGGAGAGACTCGGGGATAACAGCCACACCGACGCAGATACCGTACAGAAGGACTTCATCGGTGATTTTCCACAGACTGGCGGAAAAGACGATGATGACCAGGATAATGGCGAAGGCGAAAAGCAACAGGGCGAACTTGCTGAGGGTGACCTGGAGAGGGGTTCCCTCGAGACCAAGGATTCTGCGACAGAACTGGTAGAACTTCCAAACTGCGCGACCGACGGGAGTCCTTTCGGTGTCGTCGTTCTTAGTCTTGCGCAGGAGTTCGGCGATTTGGCCGACCTCTGTTTCCATACCAGTAGCAATGACAATGCCGGTGGCTCGACCTCTAGTGACAGAGCTTCCGGAATAGGCCAGGTTAACACGATCACCCATGGGCATATCGGGATCGGTGAATACGACATCTGGCTTCTTGCTGATGGCGATAGATTCACCAGTGAGAAGTGCCTCGTCGGTAGAGACGTTGATGCCTTGAACCAGGCGCAGATCGGCAGGAACAACATCGCCAGTTGCGAGAGAGACTATGTCTCCCTTGACGAGGGTTTCGGCCTTGACAGTTTCACTGTGACCATCTCGGATGACCTTGCATTTAGGAGTGGACAGAGCATAGAGCGACTGGATGGTCTGCTCAGCGCGGTAGTCCTGGATCAATCTAGCGGGTATAATGTTAGCATGGAGTGGGAGATTAATGAGTACGGCTAGATGTGATTCGGACTGTCAGCTTCAGGGTATGGCACAGGATTCGACCTCAGTGCTTGGGGCTTCTGGCCTTACGCATGGCAAAATCACAGGCTTCACCGTATGGCAGCAGGAACAAGGAACAGGAACAGGAACAGGAACGAGAAGGTGTGTGTAGCAAAGTGCAACAACGATGTGGGGAGTTGTAGCAGCAGCAAGCGACAAGACTTGACCAGCAGATTGGCTGGGCTAGTGAGTGACGCAGCAAAGACATACCCGACAACGATGTTGAGGACAATGACGGCGGCGACGACGCCACCCTCAATATAGTCCGAGATAGCAAAGGACAGAGCGGTCACGGCGATGAGGACGACAGTCAGGGCATTGGCAATCTGCTGTATGAAGATCTCGTACAGAGAGATGCCCTTGGCGCCTTTGATAGAATTAGGGCCGTCCCGCGCAAGGCGGGCAGCAGCCTCTTCGCTACTCAGGCCATCGTCGACGTCGGACTTGAGGTCTCTGGCGACGCGATGAGCAGAGAGCGTATGGGGAAGAATCGGCTTCTCTATGGCTAGTAGGTCTGGGGGTTCCGCTATAGGGGGTTGGTCGTCCTGACCAGTTGCGACGGTCGACGAGTCCGACGTGGAAGTGGCGTGAACTGCACCATTCGCGGATTTGGATTCGGTTTCTCCCATCGAATGGGTGTTGGTATAAGCGAAAGCTGGAGGGGAGCTGAGCTAAGATGTTTTTTTTTGGTGTTGTTAAGGCCGGCTGCAGAAGATCAGCCGGAGGTTTTCTGAGTAAACTTGAAAAGAGAGTTGAAGAAATATTTAGGGAAGAGATCGCGTGAAGCACGATATCTGGGTAGGGAAGAAAGGAAAAGGCGTGGAAAGAGGTTGAGAGGGTGGCAGCTTTTATATACAATCCAAGGTAGGAGGGAACCAGGATGGACCGGACAGATGCCGGCAAGCAACAACGAGGTTAGAAGCGAGGCTCTGTAGGAAGTTCGTCTAAGTGGGAGACGGGTACTATCCCAAACCTCACTCTCCCTCCCATCCCTAGAGACTTAGATCCGATCCAATCCAGTCCAATAGAGGAAAGGAAAGGAAAGCAAGTGAATAGCACGGGAGTGTGAGCTTCCCACTTACACACTCACGCACGCATCCATGCATGCATGTGCTGCCCCGCAGTCCAATACACACTGTGCTCCGTCGGCGCATCCAATGGTACTACCAGGTACTAAGTTAAGATTCATTGTCAGAGCATTAGAAAGACGATGGCATCGTTTCCAGCCATTGAGTTGAAAACTGCCAGCGAGATTCGGTCAGACTTTGTTACAACAAGACCAAACACTTCAAACAGCCATTCACTGCAATGCCAATTGAAGAATTGTCCAACAGGCTTCATCCATCTTATCCAAGAGGATCGTCGAGATTAGGTTTGGTGGAACCAGAACGGCCTCTTTGGCGCCATTAGAGCAAACGACTTGTTCGGGACACGTCGTTATCCCACACCAACATAGACGGACAATGTACTCCCAAGTACTCCTCTTGGCGTGCGGTATCGCGTGGGACACAGACGAATCAAAGCTTATCCTGCCAAGGTCACGAGGGGTTACAGGGGATCCAATACCTACGCCCGTCGGTCGGATCAGCAATTGCTGTCCTTGGACAATTGCTTCTCTTTTCTTTTGTTCGAATCGTCATCTGCGAGTAACCGACGGTCTAATATTCATCAAAGTTGTGCGACTTGATTAATGTCAGCGGTTGAAGGATAACGCTCAGAGGAAGAGAGTTGGAAACGCCATCTCAAGCTTCACATCCATTGGACAAATCCTCGGACAACAGAACACAATACGACACAAGCTATAGTACAATCTCAACGGCAACGCAAACATCGTCTGCCTGGATCAATCAATCAATCTCCATCCACCATTACTGTGCCAGAATCACCCACAATCACTGTCCATTAGCGTCTGTCGTCAGCAGGCGATAACTTATCCGCCTCGACATCAAGTTAACAATATCCACATGATGAGGTTAGCCGATGTACCAATCAGTCACTGAGCGGCCAATCATGTTTCACCATTTATCCTCGCCTCGTCCCATTGTCACCACTTCTTCTCTTAATGAGAGAATGCTTGTTTGAACTTGGCATGGCTTGGGCTTGGCATACGACGATATTTGACCAATACAGCGTTGCCTCTGCTTCGCCTCAGCCAAGACAATTCTCTTCTTAATCACCTGCTACGACGAGCCAAGTTTGGTTTTGCTTGGCAATGATGGTGATGAATGTCACTACTCTTGCTGGCTTCTTTTTATGGAAGCCTGCATCGTTGCATTGTGTTGCTCGTTATGCTTGTTTTGTCCTCCAATGACCACATTGAGCCTTCATTCACCCTGGCACCCATTTACGGCCAAGGCCATCTGGGGAACGGCCTTGTTTTGGAGGCTCTTGCTCCAGAACTACGCTAAGATTTAAGCTTAACAATTGGGTTGCAAGCCTGGCCAGGGATCTCTTCTCAAAACCGCCTGAAACGACCCCAACCCTCTTGATTTTAAGGCTAGGAAGCATGACGGTGCTCCTCTACAGATATTCAGAGGTTCCCAGTTCTGCCACAGGCTCTGACTTCATCGACTATGCTCAACCGCCATTGCGCGAATCAGGTATCCTGAACAACAAGGGCACTACCAGGACTACACAGCCACGTAACCTTGCTACTAGTGGATACGGTCTTTTTGATCTACAGCCAAGGAATCGTTTCACTGTGTGAATGTCACAAGCAAGTGCCGCTCACTCGGCGCCGTCTTTTAGACTCCGGACCGGCCGTGCACCGGGATGTAAGCCACGACCACCGACGGCCGAGACGGAGAACGAACGGCTCAGACATTACAGCACGATAGTTGTGTTTGGTCGACTGCTCCGTACGGGATCAGCATTGGCCAATGGCACTTTTTAACAATGATAACCCTAGCGCTTGAATAAAGTTGAACGGGGTAAGTCTGGGGAACAAGCTTAAACCAAGCTTTGATGAGGGTCCAGACATTGAACTTCCCCGGATATCAACTTCCAAAGACCCTGTACAGCTTCTGAAAACACCTCGCTTGCCGAAGATGACTGCTCGTATCTCCGCTTCTCGACGACAAGCTAGCTCTGTGTCTCGAACATCATGCCACTACGATGTGAAATGGAGATAGGCTCTCCCTGTTTCTCCATACAGCGTCTCATTCACCTTCTTGGCTTTTCACAAAAGCTCCATTCATGATAGACGATGCGGGGTATGGGTTATTCGCGTGGGCGTTAATACCATGGATGTAGCGAAATGTCTACGAGAATGGTAAGATGAGTACAAGATTCCGGGATATTTAGGGTTCTCTGATGACCTCCGTGTTGCGATGAGACAAGACTTGCCAAACTAGGAGATGCCGGATACTAGCTTGCACGGGAGGCACAACTTCGGATACAAGTGGTACGGATACAGTGTAGGTCTTGTTTGGAAGGCATTCCACGCCCGCAGGGGCGGTTGTGTCTCTGAAAGGGAACATCAGTTTGGCGCCCTCCTGGACAAACTCAGACTTCAGATTCACGGTCTGTGCAATCAGTCTCAACCTTGCCGGCAAACGCAATTTGGCTAAATGCTTCTCTACCATTGACCATCGGCCCTACTCCGTACGGGCCAAAACATGTCCTTATCCGAAGACCAGGTCCAGTACCATCTCTCACTCCTTGCCAAGACGCAGAAACTCCCCTCATCCGAGGAGGTTAATAAACGGCTCCGGCCACTTTCCCCACACAAGCGGCTGGTCGCCTAGCCGTCCGCTCACCGGCGAGAGCAACTTGATCTTGCGACGCTCCTCATCCACATCCGACACGTACAAGAAGCCCATAACACTTGCAGCACGGACCGTATCGGGCGACTCCTTGGGTGTTGCGTGCATAATAGCAAACGTCCATTGCTGCATCGACGTTGAGGGGTCTTCTCGGGTGACACCCTGGTTGGGAGAATGTTCTAGCATAGTGAGTCAGTAAAACCGGTTGTAGAATGCTTGGCATGGGTCATGTACCGTCGGAGTTGTGATACACAATCACGCTGTCGAAATCGACTTGCTGGATCAGGGGGCTGAGAGTGCGCTTGGAGTCGCCGAAGAAATACTCCTTGATAGCTGCTTCTCTTACGTGCTGTAAGAATGCTTCATCTCGAACAACGACGCCGTCGGACTTGTCGATGGGAACAATGCTAATGGGTTCCCCGAGACTTGTTCGCTCGTTGCTGAAACGTTTAGATAGCTCGGCGGTGATACTTGTTGAGCCAATCACAACAATCACATTGACTGGTCTCGTGAGCTTATTTCCTCTTAGCAATGAGAGTAAGACGTACCGGAGAACTCATCGACGATGTGTGCGACGAGCTCATACCCATCCTTGCTCTGTTCAGGAAGACCCATTCCATCAATGATGACACCTGAGCTCTTGACGTCCTCATCCTCGCTTAAGCGTGCACTCACGCTTCCAGCCAGTTTACTCATGAGTTCGCTGTAAAACTCAGGGTCTTCATCAGATGAAGCTCGTCCGTAGTAAAATACCAGAGGGAGCTTCACGGGCACACTGCTTGGGCCGCTGGTAGGCGTGCTGCCCCAACCGTCCACAGCCTCAATGTCCATGACAGTCGCGAGAACGCTCGCACTCAGTGTTCCAGGCAAACTCAGCATTCCTTCTTTAGGATTCGCGTTCACCACTAGAGGTTGGTAGCCTTGTCTCGTCGCATAGCTTGTCAACGTCCTCGCAACCGTTGTCTTTCCCACATCCGCTGGTCCAACGATCAACACCCTCGGTCCCTCTCTGCCCTCCCTCGCCGCCTTTTGTCGCATATCATTAAGCTGTCCATGAAGATTCACGTACACATTTGCCAGGTTATCAGTCGGATTTGCATATTCCGCCACGGAGTCGACATCGCATCGGCCATCGACCTCAAGCTCGCATCCGTGCCACGTTAGAATCTTCGACTTGACGCCCGCAAAAGTATAAGCGTTCTTCGGGCCTAGTTCGACACCGTCTTTCTCTGCTGTGCCGGAGAGAAGCTTGACGATTACGGGGGAGGAGACTTGGAAGCGCCATTCGCAGGCTGGTCGGAGGGTGATGACGCGGGTGCTCGAGGCGGTGGGCTGTGATAAATGTCAAAGAGGGTGTTTCAGTGGTGATGATAGAGATTTACCTGTGTGGGAATCTGGCCCAGGCCTGGAATTGACATTGTCGCTACATCGACTTTGACGGAAGAGAAATGTCGTCGCGATCAAAGGTGTCTGTGCGTGGGGCTTTTGGAAGCTTTCCAGAAGCTCGATGCAAGGATGAGATAAAGTTGGAGCACCAAGTTACATGACATAAATACGAGTGTAGAAAGCAAGGGGATGCAATAAAACTTGAGACCTCGACGGAGATCCAAGGTGACAAAAAGTCTTAGGTAAACTTAGGGAAACTTAACACATAATTTAGTATAGATTCAGAGGATCTTAGACTAAGAATTTTCAGCACCTCAACTTAAACGTCAGAAGTTTTCTTGCAAGCAATATCAAGTGCAGAAGATTTCTGTCAACTAATTTCGTAAGATGAGCTACCTTTCAACCTACCCTGTAGCTATCATTTCAACTTTTAAACCATTTGGCCAACTTTCAATCTCCTCTTCAGTATTCATCCTCCTCGAGATCCTTTCCCTTCTGTGCATCCCGGGTCGACGGAGCCGCGCGATCATCAACTCTGGGCTCCTTGTAGTGGCGCATCAACTCCTGCGGGAGGAAAATGAAGAACGATGGGACAATCATCTCAATAGATTTGAGAAATCGCAATCCTGCATCCAACTCACAAATGGTCGCAACAGTTCTCAATCCCGGCATCATGTTTGCGAGGAGGGCATCGTCAAAAAAGAGGGTGATGGTATCCTCTTTGACAGGCCACTCCCCAGACCATGGGTTCTCCCAATCATCCTGAATGTAGCCCTGTTTGAAGACAGCTTTTCCAACTGGGACATGGTTCGCTGCCTTGTCGCCGATGACGAGTGAGTTGAATCGCTTGACGATGTCCTCTTCGGGCCGGATGACTTCGACCAGCTCCAGAGTGCAGGTGTATTCGCTCCAGATGATGGGCTCCTTGAGAGACAGCTTTTCGAAGAGTTCAGGCTCATCCATGAGAGCAAAGGCCGCGAAGAATACAGCCTTGGGATCGAAGCCCTTGGGTCGTTTGAAAGTCTGGAATGACCAATACTCTTCGGTTGCTTCCTGATAGAAAATCTCTGAGCAGGCGAGGGTGAAGTACCCCGGGAGATCAGCCATGAGCTGTCGGATCATGGGCCACTCAACGCTCGCAGTCTTGCACAGCTCAAGAGCCTCATTGACACTGTCCTCATACTCAGGGCAGACATCGTGCTGGAGGACGTATCGAAGAAAGTTCTTAATCGTGTCGATGCCCTCCTCCATTCTCTTGGGCTCAAAGGAGGTCAGGTGGACGAGGCTGACAGAGAAGAAGCCCGCGACGACAGCAGCGAAATCGACTTTCCACTTCTCGTCATCGCCATCGTAGAACTTCTCGCCACCTTGAGAGTTGGCCCAGATAATATCTGTGGCAGTAGCCTCTCGGCGCTGGGCGGGAGTCAGTTCCTTCAGCTCTTGCTGGCCGAGGCCGCCGAAGGTGTTGGGCGAGGTGTCGACGCCGCCGAGGAAGAGATACTCGTTGAAGTAGAGGCCGCGGTCGCCCTGGAGACGACGTCGGGAGCGGAAACGCTGGATGCAAGATTGCATGCGCCTGTAGATATCAGCACTGGCACTTGTTAAGAGAGGCAGCGGCCATACTCAGCAAAAGGCAGGTCTGGAGAGTAGATCTCATTCTTCTCCTCTGTGGCCTCGACAGGGGTGAGAGGCGGGTCGGCGAAGTACTCCTCGAAACCACTTCCACGGTTCTTTGGAAGCGCTGTAGGACCACGGTTGATAAGGCCCTTGCCTTTTCTCTTTCGGCTCTTCTTGGCGATGCCCTGGAGGGACTCTGGCAGAGCCAAAGGCTCCTCCTCGATCTGAGGCTTGGAGTCTTCGGCCATGATGGTTGTTGATGAAGAATAGAAGAAGATTTGGAGATGAGGAATTCGGAGGCTTTATGTACCCAGTAACCCTCTGATTCATAGGCCGGACGAACACGCGACGATTGCAGCCAGCTATCCCTACCTAAAGATGGGACGAATCGATTTTTAGCAGCTGGCTAGCAGTGTCAATTCTTGGCTACCTTGATAGAGGAGAACTTATGCAGGCATCAGGATCTTCCAACGTCGTTTCTCCCGGAATGGAGAAATTTAGAGACAGAAAAAGGACAATTATAACACAGAGTGCACATGAGAACAAAACGAGGACCTCCAACTGAAAAGGAACAATCTAATTGTGAGTTGTTTGCCGCTGTTTGGTTCAAACATGGGCAAATGTGTAGTGTAGGAGTCGGCAAGCTGCTTCAGAGCTGCAAGTTCCCTTAAAGCTCATACTTGCCTCCAAACGCAGTGATATGAACTACATGTACGGATACTATGCCAAATGTTTCCAAAAGAAGATAAATTTACAGCTTTCAGTTTATAATCAACTAATCGCCGAAACTTCAAAGTTCCAGGCTCTACTGGTGTGCAGAATGCTGGCCTCTGGCCGACGAAGTCCTTAAACATTTAAGATATGTATCAGGTCTTTCTCATGATATATGAGTTAGTGTTTATAAAAACACAATCTCAGACAGTATATTGTCAAGATCAAATGCTGCTGCTCCTCTCCAGAGGATAGATATAATTCTTGCACACAGGTAACGAAGGTTGCCAATAGGTTTCAAAGATTAATGAGTGTCAACAAGATATCGAGTTGACAATGTCACTCCAGGACAAATTGATCTACCGTTAATTAGCTTTTGTCTCGGAGGCTGAGACTGCTTTGAGTGTGTAGTCTTGTGTTAACTGACTCTACAAGACCTACTACTAATGTATGAGAGAGGCCGAGCACAGTCATGTAATACCCAACCCATGTGTTTGCGACAGGACTATACTTGGTATTTTTCGCCTAGCTTTGACGCATGAATTTACCTCAACAGCTTAGTGTGCATCCTTTGCATGTAGTATCGATCAGACTAGTATCAAGCCCACAATCCATCCCTAGAAAATCTCTCAGGATAAAATGCCTATCACAGCTGGGCTGAAAGCAAGGCTTTCACGATATCCTAGTGCGAGCACCAACCAAAACGACGCCGGTAAATACGGGCCGGCCCATCCCGGTCAAGAAAAGGGTGTCGACAACACAAGAGAGGCATTTAAAGGAAAAAGGCACCGGCATCTTGATCTGATTCGTGGGGGTGATCATTGGCTCTGGGGGTCAGTTGATAGAGGTCACCAGGCGGGTTTTGGCTAAGCTGAATGGGTGTCTCCGTAGCTGATAGGGTGTGATAGTCAGACTATGTGTGGTGTTTTGGGGTTGTACGACTTGAATGTTTGTGTAGTAATGTTGTTTTTGGTGTTTCAGCCGATGTGTTAAGAGTCCGATTGAGCTCGGACTGCATAATGAGTGTAGTGTGTGTATGGGGTTGAGATAGTAACGCAACTTGAGTATCAGTTGAGTCGCTGAGGCTTCATCTACGTGCATGCATGATACTGTACATGCAAGGATGTTACCTTAGTAGGCTACAGGCATGTTTCCTCTTCCGTTCCGCGTTTGTCTCGGCCTCAGGCTCGTCAAATTCTACGAATCAATAGCATTGTCTGTACCCAAGAAATGACGAATCTCGTGTCGTTCTTAGCAAACCCTCGTTTAAGTCAGATCGCAGGTTTTAAGCAAGATCGCCGCTCATGTCCCCCAAACGAAAACGCCAGCAAAGCAAACACACACACGCAGCACATGAACAAATCCGTGATCCAGAAACCCTGTGTTCCTTGCATATCGTAAACACCCCGGCTGAGTCTGATGATATAGACCTAAGGTAGGTCGTTGCGACGTGTAACCAGCAAAACGTTGGACAGTGAGACATGTCAATTCTTGGAAATGACCGAAAAGATGCCAAAATACAAAAGCCAGACATTATGAGTATGCCCAGCGCCAATGGAATTGGACCCCTGTTCTCGTTGGCTGTGGCTCAGCGAGGCAGAGCGCTTGACAGGGCTGACTTCTCGCTGTTGTTTGGTCGTTGACTCGCTGGTATTGCCGCTGAGATGAGGGGCTTTGTCGACGGATCGCCTTCGTTATTCGGGGCTCGTCTCGCTATCGCTTTGAGGGGAAATGTTTTGCGATTCACGGGCTGGCTGTGTAATGCCTAGGACTTTGAGTAAGCTGGTTGTTCAATGAGGTTGTCGTTGAGTTGCCTAGTCACTAACGTACGTTAGTTCGTTCCGCTCTGTGATTCACGGTTACTAGAAATACTGTATAAACAGCCCGTGAAATACTCCTCATGACGATTTACCATCAACCTCGTACATCACAATTCTTCTCAAGACCTCGTCTGACTGGTTCTTGTCAGAGAGATATCATCGTTGGCCTCACATCATCCTCCAATCTCCCACTGGTCCGTTACATCCGCCACAAACGCTGACCAAAGAAGGCTTGGAGACTAAGGTACCTACAAAATTACATACAACATCGCCACTTGGAACTCTCCATTTTATTTTATTTTATTTTATTGTACTGCAACCCAGACCTAGCAAGTTAACAAGTATAGCACAGTACAAGCGCCCTTGTATCCGCGGACGAAGCGGAACCGTCCCCTCTGAACAAACTCGTCTCCTTGTGTCTTGACGTGTCGCACCTTGACCAAGACAGACAAGACTGGGGGTTGATCCTGTGCTGATCAGTTCTATTTCTTCTCTCTCTGTCTCCCTCCCTGAATTCTCGCTTTCTGCGCCCCTGAATTTCTTGGAAGACCTCATCGTGCTTGACCCTGAAATCAAGAATCTCCTCCATTCCCTATTTATATATCGTGCCTTATCTATAACTAGTGGCCAATTTTCTATCTTTTTTTCTCCTCAAAACTTGCCTCACTTGGCGCTCCACTCAATTCAAACCTACTTGACGGACGCCCTGGTCCCTATAAACGCTTCGCCTTGCGCTGAGCTGACCCCTCTGGACTCGACCACTACGACCACGCTACGCTACTCGCTCAACCCTGCGAACTGAGCCACGGCCTCGAATCCATCGCCTGCTCCAGCCTTCAGCTTCAATCAAAGTCCAGTCCAATTCCTTTCAACAACTGCGCATCTCTCCACAGGCTTCTTCACCGCCCTCGCCCCTCGACATTTCTATAACATTCCTTCGCCAGTCGCTTCCGGACCTTGATCGCTTCTTTACTCACAACATTGATTGCCCTTTTCCCTCTCTTTTCATCAAGCAAGCAGCGCGTGCTCCCTTTTACGGCTGTTACACCCAAAGACCGGCGCGAGCCCACCGCCACACTCACAATCCCACCAACTATGATGGGATCAAAACAAATGCCTGATCGCAAAGAGCTTCGCGATTACAACTACGCTGTCGCCGGCCAGTAAGTCTCTTGATCCTTTTCGCATTGCATATGCGCTCCTCATCCGAGTAATTTACTCTCCCTTGAGAGCGCCTCTGTTGCTCTGGCTTGGCATTTATTTGCGTCACAATGCCACCCCGCGCTTCGTCTGCATCATACTAATTTCGATGACTCAAGTGCCGGCACGCTTTGTACCCCCGATGGCGAACTATTCATCAAGCCTTGCACACAGTCCGAGATCGATTTCTACCAGTCTGCCAATCGAAGACATCCCGAGTTCGCCGATATAATGCCATTGTTCATGGGATCCCTCCTCCTCACCGACCCTACTGAGAAGACAATAGACGAGGCTGTTGCTGGTGTTATATCCCACGCCGGAGATCTCAAGACGTCAAAGGAAGAGATTGTCGCTTCGGTAACCGAACAGGTTGCTCACGTTACAGCGACACAACAAAAAGAGGGCGGTGCTTGGGTCCCAGCCAAGGATAACAAGATCAAGACCGATAAGGCGGTTGTGCTGGACAATGCCACTTTTGGCTTCAAGAGCCCCAACATCCTCGATGTCAAGTTGGGAGTAAGACTCTGGGCCGATGATGCCCCTCAACAAAAAAAGCAGCGCTTCGACAAGATCTCAGCCGAGACGACACACGGTAGCTTGGGATTCCGGATAGCAGGAATGCGGGTCTACCGCGGATCAGAGGATGCCTCGGAACTGGACGAGGAAAACTACAAGATCTACGATAAGGACTATGGCCGAACAACAGTCACCCAAGAAAACGTCGTGGAGCAGTTCCGAAAATTCATCTTCAACAAAAGCGCTAGCATCGACGAAGATCTCGGCAAGGCCGTTTGCGCAGCCTTCATCCGAGACCTCCAAAGAGTTGAAGAGATCCTCTCACGACATGAAAGCCGAATGTACTCATCTTCATTACTATTCATCTTCGAGGGTGATGGTGAAGCCCTCCGAAGCGCCATTGAAGAGAACAACGCACTTATCGACGCAGAGGCAGGCATTGGCCAAGCAGCTCGAACTACCAAGAGGGTTGATAGCGGCATCGCTCTGGACGACGAAGACGAGCTAGACGAAGACTCGGACCTCGAGGCCTCCCTACCACAAATATACTCCCTAAAACTCATTGACTTTGCCCACGCCGAATGGACCCCCGGTCAAGGACCCGACGAAAACGCCTTGACGGGCGTAAGGAGTCTCTTGCGCATTTTCGAGGAGATGGCGTAAATATGTTCACGGAAATGAAAAAGGGCACCCTTTATGATCATGACAAAAACCAACGGCTTAAAATGGGGACGGATATAAAGAAAGCATTTTGCTTAGACGGAAATGGAGCTCGATACCCATGTGCTAAAGGATCGAAAGGGGATCAAATGATCAGATGATCAAACGTAAAAAACAGCTGCGCTGCGCTGCGGCTCGGTGCATGGCGTCCATGGTGATGACAATTGAACTTTTACTTTTGCTTTGTTCTCATGGGGTGGTGCTATCAACCTGACATCCTGTTAGATGTCTGATCTTGGTTTTGGCGTTGAAGGATCTGTATTTAGTTGTACGATTATATG